AAAAAACAGTCATATCACATTATTAGTTTTGACATTTGGCRCTCGTAGTAAACGTGAATCTACATAAATCTCTCTTTTTGAGGATACACCTGATTGAAAAATGTTGTCAGGTTTCAAATCATTTAGCCGAGACCGAAATGGTACCTGGGATGTCATAGGGTTATGATAATGCATCAGGTATGCACATGCGTATCACATATAACATTGTTTGTTTATTWTAATCCTCAATTTTAGGATTTTTTCTTCCCTATTGGATCTCAATTATTGGCTTTTCAATRATCATGGTTTGTGTGAAACGGTGGGGAAACATGAGTTCAAATTGTGCCGGGAATATTATATGCTTCCTATTTTTAAACTATAAATAAATTGTAATGTGGTTTACGGTTTAATCACAGCTAAATGGTATTGAAAGGTCCTATGATTTTAGCGTCGTTAACMCGTGAAATAGTTACTACTAGACTTGCTTACTGTTTTCCTTAGTTTAATTTTTTTTTAATTGAAGTTGAGTGGGGTCATTAAACCCGTGACATTACAATAYTTGATTCTACTTCACGGTTTTTTTACTTAAAACTTATTAGTACAAACTACTCTAGTTGGTGTTTCACGGGTTAATTTTAACGAATTTACTCTGTTCTCTCGTCACTAGATTAAAAAAAAAGTAAAACAATGTAATAGTTGCCCCTTTACGTTACAAYCYCACGAAAATCATAAACGTTTCACGGATTTACATTTCTCAATCTTTTCACAAAACTATATCTTACAGATGACCACGTGTCTAGTGAGTGCTAAAATCAAGAAATCCGTAAAGTGCTGAACAAATCTAACAAAAATTCTTACCTTTGGAGCTTTCTTTAGTCTGWGAAATACCTTTATGCTAGCCCAAGCGTTCTTGCAGATCTTTTATACTAGAAGTCTTTGGCATTCACTCCTGCCTCGGCGCCAAGAAACAGYTACTGTCGAGGATTTACTRTGTAACAATGGGACACCTCGTCACAAAGTCTCTATAACGTGACCGCAGTTTGCTTTGTGTAACGGAAGACAGTATTGCGTTACACAGCTTAATGAAGCCACCGGATACCACAGTGTTTACTTGAGTTGAACAGTCCAAATAAAAGTAAAGAGTTTAAAGACAAATGAATTATAACAGGAAGGTAGAAATTGAGCCTCCATTAATTAAGAGGAGGATCACGCAGCCATGAGCGAACACGCCCTTTTTGATGACATCTGGAAGCATGCTTGTCCCCTTCTCGTGACCACGGAAATACATTCCCATGATCGTATTTAAGTAAAGAGTTTTATCAAAGAATGGACCCTGTTTTTGATAGATTGGATAGTAAGGATCACATTCTATAACAGTATTCTTGTGACCWTTATAGATAAGATTTCGTATATAGGCGTGAAACAGTGTGGGGACTACACGAACAAAYGGCTATAGACGGTYACGGAACCTCGCCTATTAGTAAGTATAAAACATTGAATTGTGAAAAGGTAATGGTTGGAATACGCAACTAGTCATAGCTCGAAAGTACGTTTTTTAGTACACTTTTATAAAATTTGCAGTGTTTAAGGGACACTCAGGTCATGGACAACTTTTAGATTCCATTCACTGTTTCATGTAACTATAGCATTTAAATGCAACCTAATTAGCTATTGCCTGGATTAAAAACAATGGATGCCATTTCCTTGAAATAATTACATATTCGAATAATTCCATTTCCATGATCAGTATTTGTACTATCACATTCAGCAATTTCTATGGCAAACTTGCTAGCACCATGTTACAGCTTGGACCGTTGATTGACATGAATCACATATGCCAATCAGGCATTTATATTCGCGGGGTRACAGCGAATAACAACCATGCAAGAGACATGCTTTTACCTTTTCAACAGATCGTTTTTCTAAACTTAATATGATTTAGCTGAAGTTTGAATTTCATAATCCCTTTAAATAGGTATTTGGTTGAAATCACGAGTTATGCAAGGCTCGCTGCTGCTTTAATTTCCTCATCCAGAAATTAAGATGCGGGCTGATAAGATAGTTATTCCGACTGACAAAAAACCGTGCAGCAGGAAAACAAGAGCCATGAATAAAAGACGTTCATTTTTAAACTATGTTCTGGGAAAAAGAGATTGTGCACCCAGACACACCCTCAGCATGACGTCATAGGGGCGCAATAAGAGGTGTTATGTTTCCTGATAGGCAATGATAGTGATCAAATCTTCAAGCAAATAAATCACTATTTCCCACGATATTGCTGCAATGAAAAATCCTTTTCTTTCTCGACGATATGATGATGGGAGCATGTCTTTCTGAGAAGATCCTTAAATTATGTGTCACGTGAGTTATTTTCACCAAATAGAGCAGCTAGGGGGCGATCCACTAGACATTTGGTGAGGGGGGGGGATGGAAGGTCTAGTAGATGCAACAATTTTTTTTTTTTTACTTCAGGCGCGCGCTTGAATTTTTTTTTTTTAATTTGAAAAAGCTTTAGTGGACTGAGTTTGTCAAAATTTAATTTGCCTTGCAGGAATTTTTTTTTTCCATCCCCCCTCAAAAGTTTAATAGATCGCCCCTAACAAAATAACAAATAGCGTGCGCGCAGCCCAACCAATTGCTCAGATTTTATCAATCAAAAGTTATAATAACCATTAAAATTGTTCATATCCACTTATTTGTTATTTCAAACAGGCAGTTACAGTGTAATCTAATATAGGGTTGTTAGCCAACGACTTTCTAACGATTGTCCAAGATAATTTTAAAAATAACTTGATTTAGTTTTCTCTGGCTAACATAGTAAGGATATGAGCTGGAAAGTCTGTATTGATGTTAGTAAAATTAGTAGGCAAACAAAACACAATCTTCAATTACATATTTCGTTATTGGTTATGAACGTATTTATAACTACGGTGGAAATGTTGGTTGGGGCAAAATATATGTAAAGTGTTTTTGTTTTGTTTTTTTTTTTTTTTGCTGTCAAAGTCTTTATAAAAAATAATATAAAAAAATGCGCCCCGTTTTGAGTTGCATGTCCTCTTATTGACACACTCCTGACGTCATAAAGTGTTTTTTAGTCAAAAAAATTAGAAAATCATTCTTTCTTTCAACTGATCGCACGCGCAAAACGGGGTGTTGTCAATCGCCATCTCTGATCTTGAATCAATCAGAAAGTAGCTTTTCCAGGGCACATTTTTGCTAAACAAACGATCGCAAAGGCTCTCTGATACAAGTGGGTCATGAGGTGTTTTTAACGCATTTTGTTCAAATCCATAAATTTCCGGTTAATAAATATATAAAAATACAAAATATCCGTGAGAAACTGTGAATGCTTACGTACTTTAATTTGTAAAAGTCAAATCAAATATACTTGACGATCCATGCTGTTATACCGCAAAYCACGCCAAAACAACATGGAACAACATCGATCTTCGATTTCCGGCCGTGACTGGATTGTTTTTGGTAATTGATTTTACAGCAGTGTCCGTACTCTGCTRRACAAATACTACCTTACTTCCCTGCTAATCAASGTTCATATCAAATTCCTGTACTGTTAATTAACGACCTGCCAGAGAGTCAAACTTCAATTCAAAATATTAAAACATTATTTAGAAAATTGAAACCATCGTTCACATCATCGATAAATATACATTTATTGTAAAATATTTCTGTTTGTGGCCGAGAAATAAAGAGAGAAAATATACAGTTCTGCACTGACGTTCCAGCGGCAATGTCATTCCCTCTATTGACATTGCTGTGCGTTTTCCGTTTAGTCAGTCCTCAGGTATGTAATTAATCGATGTTATGTTACTGTGAGTCAAACGATTTTGCTGACCGTATGATCATAATATATTCTCGCAAACAGTGTTTCATTGTCCGATACATATACACTAGCTATTGTTAAATTGCGGCCCGATTTGGGTAATATTTTTTAATAACGCATTTAGTGTTTGCACAGTATGCGGTATTGAGAGCAAATTAAAAGAAGAAACAACAAAAACAAAAGCAAGTCACACAATTAAATATTTATTCAACTCTGATTGTAACGACGTGAGCGTGCTATCCACCACACTCAGTTTGAACGGCCTCACGCTCATGCTCATATCATCCAATCGGCGCGCGCGTTGCATATTGYATATGTTTACTGTAACTCTAGATGTTTATACACCTAATTGAAAAAAAAGTTGTCAGGTTCAAAAAATGACACCATGCAAAGCTAAGACTTAAAAATGAGGGATTCGGGGTACATAGAATTTGGTCGTATTTACCATCGCATGCTCGAACGTTATGAAGAATTTTTATAGTGGAGTCTATGATTATGTTCTGGAAATGAAACAGTCCTCAGTCAGATACACTCATTTACTAATTATTTACCTTCCCATACTTCCTTTCGGTCTTAGATTCGATGATGTAGACTTTTTGAACCTGGTGACAACGTTTTTTCAYTGGTGTATACGGGAATTCAAGGAGCCAAAGTAGCTTTCCATCTATAGCATATTTAAATAGTAATGATAGCTGAGAGGAACTCAGAAATAGGCCTCGAARGATAGGTCCTCTCTTATTAAATATCATTACGCACGGTATTGTGGTCTAGATTCAGTAAGAATAGTTATTGTTCAAGTCAAATGTAGTGCTGTTTGTCCTCAAGCTAGACCAMAATGCACTAGGTTTTGTATTTTACAAAGTCTATGGAGATGGCTTAAACGCATGGATTAAAAAAAGCCTTATTTSTGATTGATAAATGTATATGAGTTAATTCTGGATTGTAAAAGTTAAATTAACTGCCAAAGTACTCTGCTTTTTCATTTCGTGCCAYGGAATAATTCTATCMACAGGAAGCCCAAGCAGCTTACGGACCAATATATCAATATGAAATARATGATCATCTTCAGCGTTGGGCGCATGTTCTCTCATAAAGTCTACAAGGCGAAATAGGTACTCTATATTAGGCCCACAACGACCATGCGCACACACGATTTGTTGTGCTAGTTCTTCAGTTGTTTCTCTTCCMRCAAATAACTCATTAGTTTCCGTGGCAACGTARACAAGAACTGGGATAACAGATGATGAYGTATTAGAGTAGAATGTCTCTTGATGGATTTCGTAGCCTCCTAATTTCACCTCTCTGTGGTTTAATTTTCCAAGGGCTTGTTTCATGTTCAACTTGTTGACTTTAAATGCAATACCCCATACTTGGCTCTGTTAAAATAAATAAAACAACAAAATTGTCATGWGAAACAAGAAGGTTTCTAGTGTTCTCCATGGGCATATTTTTCTCCCTCTTTCTCTATCTATATATATATTCGTGTTCACTATATTCGAAGCTGGTAGACAAGTGACGTTTACAGACGAATTTCGTATATGCGTGCGCATGAAAAATTAGAGGTAACTGCCGCCGAGCAATACACACCTTGTTTTAAAGTGCGCGTCTGCCATCATGTTTTCAAAAACTTACCGGCGAATCTCGCCGAGACCGGGAAATCGTCTAGTCTAGTGACCATATTAGTATCTTACCGAAAACTTATTACAATACGAAAATATCACGTAAATATGATCAAATGCGCCTTACAATACTACTAAAAAGTAATTTTCAATACACAACGGCTTAAAATCATTAAATTAAAGAATATATATTAAACGTTCAAAAGAAGTGTTCTTGCTTTTTGGTACATTTGACAGTGTAGATATTTGTCAGTAAAAGCTGTTTGATCTGGTTAGAATCGATTGCGTGCGTTTAATTAGATCGATCATAGGTCGCCATGGGGATCAAAACATTTTCCTAACAATGAACTGTGAATTCTGCACATGTTTTTTTTTTTGAAATATGGAGACCTTCTGTAAATTAATCAACTTAATTGTTAGGCATGTTTCTTCGTCGTGGTTAAAATTGCCAGACCAGTATTGCATGCAGGGTCCCAAACATAGTTATAATATCAATTATTAATATCAAAAACATTAATTTGAAGTATTTTATACCGTCTAGACCTAGTTTTTTTTGTTGAGTTTTTTTTGTTTTTCTTTTTTTTTTTCTTTTTTGAATTATAGAGACCTTCTGTAAATTATTCAACTTATGGACCATGTTTCTTCTGTTTCTTCGTCGTGGTTAAAAGGATTGCATGCAGGGTCCCAATCATGGTCATAATTATCATCAATTATTAATATCAAAAACATTTGAAGTATTTTATACTGACTAGACCCTGTTCAAGTGCCCAACATTTCTGTCGGATTTTAATGTACGAATTTCTTATTTTTAATCTAATTTTTAGTGTTCGTTTAATACTAGTGAAAGTTACAATCCTTTCATTTTGCATATTATCAATGAACACTTATTCCTTGCTTGTTGTCATTGTTTTCATTTTATTTTGACTAGAACGAAACCACATAAGGAATGTTTCACGCTTTTTAAAAAAATCATTGAAAAGAAAGAAGAGCCCAAGAAAGAGAAGAAAAGAGAAGGAAAAACTAATGTAAATTAAAAAAAAACAGGACCAAAGATGTAGTTTTAAAGGATATTAATTAATTGAGGAGAATAGTCGAAGGACGAGTAAAAAAGAACAAAGAAAAAGTAATGTACATAAGAACAAGCTGACCGGCTGAGAAAGAATAAGCTATCGGAGGTTTAAAGGCTTAGTACATTCAACAAAATAATACTTTTTCATTGGTCGAGAGGAGTACAATTACACCGTCAATTATGTCTCCTTGATAAAATTTCACGAAATTTGGTTTCACTGAATGTACTATAAACAAAAATCGCACAACTTCTCGTACAATTTAAAATTAATAGTCACTCGTAATGCCTTGAAAGTTTTCAATTTGCAATTACGAAGAAACGTTTAAAAACATTTACTCGTGACTGTTAATTCCAAATTGTGCCCAAGGTAAGGGGACCGCAACAAGACAAAAA